GCTTTCTTTAGTCTCTTTTCCTGGGAGACCACTCTTTTACTCCGCTTGGATTAGCTAGTGGAGGGAGTTTTGGAAAAACCAGATCTCCTTTGTGAAAAGGAGGGGTAGGTGCATGTGTGTGTGCGTTTGGGTGTGTGTGTGTGTTTGCAGATACAGCCTTTAAGTGTGAACTGGAAGGAAAGTTCTCTGTCAACACTGACCCCTTCCATGGTCTCATTTGCTCTGACAGTCTGGCAGGTAGGATGATATTTCCTCCTTTGTTTTCAGCACCCACAGCCCTGTGAACCACCACAAAGCATCACCGATGCCCTAGACAATCCTGCACTGTGTGTGCTTCTGTTTTGCTAAGAATCTTCCTTTCCAGATTGAGCCCCTTCTCAGCACCCCTCCTGGGCTCCCCCTTGCCCCCGTCTTTGGAGCTCAGCTTGGGCCCATTCATTCCTGAACCAGCCAAAAGTGCTTTGGAAAATTTATGAGCGGCAGCTGGAATGACAATAACTGCTGACTGGAAAAAGCCCCCTCTCTGAGGGCTGATGGATGGTGGGCTGGGCCCCGAGGGGGGACCCTTGGCCACAGAGAAATATCTCCTGTCAGATCAATGGCCCGGACCTTGGCCCCTGGAGCACCTGGCAGGCATCCATCACCCACACTGAGTGAAGCCAGGAGGCCACAGGACCGAAAACTTCAGCACCTTTAGAGCCAGAAGAACAACCTCACTGTGGCTGGTGAAACTGGGGGGAGGGCCAGGGAGCCAGACACATGGCTGGGGTTACTCTCCCTGGAGACTCGGATCAGCCTTTCCGGAGTGTGCCTGGCCCGCTGTCTGCCTGGTTGGCGTTTCCTCATTCAGCTCCAGGAGCCTCTGATGCACGTCTGGCTCTTGCAGCCCCAGGAGGCCGCACTGAGGAGCTGGAGGGGCTGAGAGTGGAGGCCTGCTCCCCCTGAATCTGCGGGCCGGCTGCTACAGGCCCCAGTCACATGAACCCCCCGCGGCTTCCTTCTGGGACCCATTCCTACTGAGCTCTCCCCTCCCTTTCCGTCTCACTCAGATCAGCGCCAGTGGAGACAGGCCAGGCCAGCCACTGAGGGAGGAGAGGCTTGGCCTCCAGGCCCCAGCTTAGAACCCTGTCCCTCAGAGCAGTTGTGTGCCAGGCACCAGCAGTTCACCGGTGAACAGACCTGGACTTTACAGTGCTTTATTCTCTCTCTCTCTCTCTCTCTCTGTCTTTTTTTCTTGTGGAAATTTGGGGTAAGGAGAGCAGTGGCCCACAAAGCAGCTACATTCTTCTTTTTCTGCAAAAGCAGCTGTTTAAATACTTTCCGCCTCAAAGGAAAGAACGTTAGTGCATTCCAGGGCAGGAGGCCTCCTTGGGTCAGGCTGGCAGTGTGTGTGTGTGTGTGTGTGTGTGCGCGCGCGTGCACATGTGCTCACTGACCCACCTGCCCACCCGCAGTGGTGTCACTCTGACACTCTGGGTGCTGGGCTGTGGCTGGGCTCGGGGCAGAGATGTGCAGGGGCAGAAGCAGAGGCAGCTCAGCGGTGACTTCTGCAGACTCACTTAGGGCTCAGATTTCAGGCCAGTTGACAGCCTCTAAGTCCTTCCAGTGTTCTTTGGAGGAGATGAGTGCAGAGCTGAGCAGGAGAGGAGAAGGGAGCAGGAGGGCAAGGTGTAGGCCGGGTGGGGTTGTGTGATCTGGGCTCTCCGGGTCGACAGCTTCCTCCTGCCGTGGACCCCTCTGTGGACCTCTGTGGAAGGGTCCAGGTCAGTCCACATGGCAGGAACCCTGGCCTTCACCCAGCCCTTGGCTGCCCTTGCCCCTTTTCTAGTTCCTGGATGAAGAGAGGAGTCTGGGAGGAGGAAGGGCAGGCATCCTGGGCCCTCCCTTTGCCTCTATCCACCCTGAGAAACCAACCTGGTGTGCAAGCATCATGTCTGAAGGAGGGACGCTAGCCGCAGAGACCATGTCCATGTCAAGACTTAGGTCTAGAAACAGTGTGTGGCTTTTGCCTTGTTAATCAGTCAGCCTGGGCCTCAGTTTCCTCATCTATAAAATGGGAGTAACGATCCACAGCCTACTTTGCCCAGTTGTTCCAGCTTAAGGAGAGAGCATCGATGTGGAAGTACTTAGAGAGAGGGTAGGAATGATGTTAGTTATTTACCGAGAGGAACGCACGTACAGAAGAGTCCACGAGTCACAAGTGTGCAGTTCAGCGAAGTTTCATCAGCACCCCGATCAGGAAACATCAAGAGAGGCTGGGATCCCCCTCATGCTCCTTCCGAGCTCCCCAGAGGTCACACTGCTCCAAGTGCAATCACTGTTTTGATTTTGCCTGGTTTTGATCCTTCCTTGGATGGATAATGCTGCCCGGAGCATTCCTCTGGGGACGTGTGCTTTCACGTCTGCTGTGTGTGTGGGAATCGCGGGCTCAGAGGTAGCCCGGGTGCTGGGTGTTAGTGAAGGAAGCCAGACAGTTTTGCAGAGTGGTGCTTGTATCAGTTTACACTCCCAGCAGCAGTGGCAGAGTTCCCTTACTACACATCCTCACCCACACTTGATTTTGTCTAAATTTAATTTACATTCAAGGAAGGACTATTAATATTTCTTCCTTTATTGCCTCTGATGCAGATTTTGGAAAGAACCTTGGAACCTGATAGCTCAGATGAGGAGCCCCCGCCTGTGTACTCCCCGCCAGCCTACCACATGCACATGTTCGACCGGCCTTACCCTCTGGCTCCCCCAACGCCACCTCCCCGGTAAGAGTCTGTCTCCTCTCAGAGCACAGGGCAGTTGGAGGGGAGGGGGATGAGAGGTTGGGATTGAGTACAAACACAATAGGAAGCTTGGCTGGACCCCTCAGTATCCTGTCCCACCAAGAACAGTCTTCTACTGCAGCAAGAGGCACTCTAGCTAGATACCAAGGAGGACTTTCAAACTGTGAGGATTGCAAGAGCAGACATTCACTAAATTCCTACTCTCGGCTGGGCGCTATGCTGAACACACACTTAAACAGACTTAATCAAGGCTCAGCCTCTGCCTTCTGGGAGTTTATAGTCAAACGAGATGCATCATGAGGGTGACAAATGCATGGAAGGGGTCCAGACACTGCCTCTCCTGGGCAGATGTTACTGAGCGCTGTGCTCTTTCCTGCTTAGTTGAGACGGGACCTCAGAATCCTCCTCAACACAGCACTCCCAGACAGTCATCAGTAATTGATGGAATGGATAGCTATTTGCCATCCCCGGTCTAGGGATGTTGTTGGGATTTTTAAGCAATGAGGGCAAGTAAGTCGCTTTTTCTGGGCTAATCCGATGATTGGAGGGAGAATAGGAGATTGCTAGGTCCCTGGAGAAATCTTCCCGGTCAAGGACTCTGTAATTTGGAAGTTTAAATGAAGCTGTTTGCCAGCTGGGTCCCATGGGTCTCTGAGGCACTTGTTTTTTCTGGGCTCCCTGTTCGCGGTGGGCTGTTGAAGCCCGGGTGTCTCTTTGTCCTAGATCTGCTGGCCCTTAGAATGACTCCGGCCTGGAGTGGGGAGGGGCTGGGGAGAAAGGATGGGACAAGGGACTTGTTTCAGTCGATCTTCCTTTCAGGGGATCTTGGGGGCCCCAGACAGTGTAGTGGAGAACTCTTTGATCATACAGGTACGGATAATAAATCATAACAGCCACCATTTACTAAGTGCCCTTCAAATGCTGGAAACTGACAAGGGTCTTTACCTACACCATTACATTCAAATCATCCGACAGCTTGTGAGGTAGGCCCTGTTGTCATCTCCATTTTACAGATGAGGAAACTGAGCCTTGGAGAAATTTCTTAACTTCCCTAAGACTACCGAGCTAGGATTTGAACCCAGGTCATTCTGACTCCAAAGCCAACAGATGTGCTTCACTGCTGTGTCCTGTCATCTCCCTGATGAGGAAAACCTCTGTGATTGCAGCTCAGAGAGCTGGTGGAAGCCTAGAAGGTTATGAGGGGAGGGAGGAAGCAACATTTGGAGTCATGGCCTGGAGTGGAGCTGAGGTCCTTCCTCTATCACAAGTGACACAGGAGGCTGCAGTGGGGGGAGGCAGGGAATAAGTGGATAGGTCTGGGTGAGATCTTGGCAGGCCTTGCAGCCTGGGATGAGTCACGATGCCCAGGGCTAAAGGATCTTCCTTTGACATTTTTCTTTAATGTCCCAAGATGCCTTTTCAATGTTCGGTTCTATTAGAATAATTCTACTTATTTTTCCTAAGGGAAAGCTGAGCCCGTAAGAGACAGAATCCCACTGTAAACCTGGCGTGGACATCCTGGCCACATCCTCCCTCCCCTCCTCTGGGTATGGTGGGTCGGGTTGGGTAGGGGTAGTGCTGCCCAGGGCTGGGAGCCCCAGCTGGGGGCAAAGTGACCTCAGCACTAGGCCAAGGCTCAGGTGGTCTCACTCACACCCTGTGACTTGGGACAGGTTACTGCCTTCTCTGAGATTCAGGGGCCTGACCCAGAAGTGAAGGCTTTGCGGGGCTGGGGGTGGATACAGGGAAGAGAATTTGCATTATGGAGTCAGACAGAATCTGAGTGTTCTCCCCACTCACTCCCTGCCCCTTGAGCGACCTGACTTCTGATTCTTTAGGTGCCTTTGGCTCACTGCTCAAACTCCCTGAACTTCTTTTGCCTCATCTGTGAAATGGGAATACTGATCCCCACCTCGGCACTCTTGTGAGGGTTGATCGAGATGTCGTGTGGGTAGCACTTAGCACAGTGTCGGGTGTGAACCAGACCCATCACCAGTGGTTTACTGCTCCGTCCTGTCCCCGGCTGCACAGCTGGCCTCCGAGATCAGCTCCGACAGTGAACACTGACACCAGTGATGGGGCTGCCCTCAGAGGCCAGTGTTCAGAAGAGGGAGAGCCAGTCTCTGAGCACGTGCCCCTTTGCCTCAGGATGGCCCTGCTAGGCCCAGATCCACCCCCAGCCCAGTTCCAAGGCCTCATTCCGTCTCTCCATCCAGGACACGCATTTTCAGCATTTACTGAGTCACCTGAAGCATGCGGGCACTGAACCATGTCTAATATAGAGGTGGACACAGCGCAGCTGGGACCTTCCAAGGAGATCAGAGTCTGTGGGAGGCACAGACACCAGGCGGGGTGTGGGGAAGGTGGCCTAGAGGAACTGATGTCCAAGCTGTGACCTGGTGAAGTGGACAGGAGAGCATTCCAGGCAAAGGAAACAGCATGTGCAAAGGCCTGGAGGCAGGAAAGAGGGGAACCTTCTGAGGGAACTCTAGGAATTTTGGAACAGCTGGGGGAAGCTGGAGAAGCGAGCAGATTATGGAGGGCCTTGTGGGTCCTCCAAGGAGCTTTGACCCTATCCCACAGCCGGGGCATTTAAGCTGGAGAGTGAGATCAGATTAGCGTTTTAGGAATCTCCCTGTGGCTGCTGGGGGCAATCAGATGTGAGTGGGGACCTGGGGGAGGAATGGCCTGGCTCCCTTCTGTCACCTCCAGTGACTGGGGTGCTTTTGAGACCGCAGACAGGGCAGGGTTTGGGAGCTGGCCCTGCTGGGGCACAGAGAGGCAAGGTGATCCCAGGGGAGCATGCCTGGAACGCCAGGATCCCTGGGCCCAGGTTTTACCGGGATGATCTATGTGCCCTGGGACAAGGCCTGACCCCATCTGGGCCCCAATGTCTAGTCTTTACCAAAAATCCTGCCTGGAAGCCTTGCTGCTGAAATCCTTCTGGGCTCTGGTATTCTTTGGGTAAACCTGGGGTTCTGCTGGGTCTGAGGTTCCAGTTCTGAGGTCCAGAGGCAGAGGCTCTGGGTCAGGAGAGCCTCCCCGGCCTTCTCTCTCTTCCCTCCCCCGGCCTGTCCTTGCTCCTCTCTCCTCAGACTGAAAGACAGTCTCTGAAACCCAGAGGCACCCCTCCTCGCAGGCCACCTGCTGTTCTTCCGTTGAAATTACAGCCTTGGAAGTTTTTTTATTTGCCTCCCAGCTCATTTCTGACATTCCTTTCCGACCACAATGGAGTTGCCTGGGCTGCCTGCGCTCAGGGCCCCCTGGCTCTCGCAGCTGTGGGCTGACCTCATCTCAGCCGGTGCCAGGGCAGGGGGCCGGCAGGGGGCTGGCCTGCCTCCCCTCTGGGACCATGGGCCCAGCAGCCGAGGGAACTCAGCTGAGGGCGAGCCTTCTGCTCCTCATCCCCCATCCTCCTCCCCACTTGGGTTCTCAGTGACAGATGGCGAGAGGGGTCCAACTGGCTTGAGGGGTCCAACGGCAACTCCAGGGCTCTCGCCGCAGCTTTCCTGGGTGGCTCTGGGCGTGGTTGCTTTCAGGTCGGCACCTTTGTCCCAGATGAAGACCCTGAAGCTGGAGGAAGGGTGGCGACCCTGAGAGGATTTCTCCAGGGTGCGGGGCCGACCATAGGTGGTCCTTGAGTTCCTGAGAGATGGGCTGTCCCCTCTCCTGCCTCTCTGGCCCTTAGAGAAAAATGAAGCTGCCAAGAGTAACAGGAGGCGGAGGAGTGATGGAGAAGGACACGTGCCCAGGCATTGGAGTCCCGGGTGGTGATACAGGCTCCATTCTGGCATCTGTGTGGCGAGAGGGGCCGGGGTTCCCTGGCTCCTGGCTGAGTGCTGAGCTCCCACCACGCACTTAGCAGCTTGTTATCCTGTCTGCTGCCGCCCCCGCCCTTCCCCCTCCGCCGCCAGGCCACCCGCCCAAAATAGAAAAGGAAAGGAAGTTATTTCCATAGTCGGTGGCAGCCCGGAAAAGCTCCCCTCCAGTGAGGGGGCGGGCGGGATTCCTGGAGCTGGAGACTAAATCAAAGCCAGGCCCGGGAGAGAGTGGCCCCCACCGCCCCCGGCCCTAGGCTGCCTTCTCTGTGTGTCATTTCCCTGATTCAGCAGAACACGTGTCCTGCGGTTGCCACGCTGCAGGCTGCCTGCGAGGAGCTGTGGGGAGCTCATGGCCGGGCCCCAGGCTGCCCGCAGGCCGGGATGGCAGGGCGGGAGCCTGGAGGTCGGAGAGGGCGCGTGCCCTGGCCTCCTTCCTCTCCGCCCCCACTTTGCTGTGGGCCTCAGCCTGGCTCAGGCGTCCTGCCAGGCACCTTGCCTACCGAGAGCTGCTCCTGAGCACCACCTGGGCCCAGAGCCCTTCCCGCCCCACACGTGCCTTTTCAGCATGTCATTCCAGACAGACTCTTGAGGGGCTTCTGTGTGCCTGGGCAGGGAGGCAGCAGTTTGTAAATAAGGAAACTGAGCCCCGGGGAGCAGGCTCTCACCCAGGACCACCGTGCTGTCTGTGGCTGCACTAGATCTGGAGCCCGGGCCCGCTCTGCCCTCTGGGGATCCTGGCGCCCCCATTCCCCCCGACCCCAGCAAACCAGTGTGGGGTGGGCTGCGCTGCTGGCGGCTCGTGTCTGTTCACTCGGGGCACACCTGTTTCTCAGCAGCCACGAGCTGGCATCGGGCTCGGGGCTGGGGATACAGCTTGAAAGGATATGATCCCTGCATCCGTGTCTAAATCTACAACGCCCGGCGTGAACAGAGAGCTCTCTAGGCCCAGAGAACTTGAGGGCACTGAGTGGTCAGAAGCAGTGAACGTCTGGTGCTGCAAGCACCCGGGCCCAGAGGCTGGGGGTCAGCAGGGCCTGGGTGAGAAGATGCGTGAGAATGCTGGGCCTCTGGGCCTTGGTGCCGGAGGTGGAGGCAGTGGAGGCCACGGGAGGCTCTGGAGCAGGAGTGCCATTCTGAGCAGGACCCCGGTGTGATGGGTGGGACGCCGGCTTTGGGCCTGACTTTTCCTTCCCCATCGTCATCTCTTGCCCTCCAGCATCGACGTGCTGGGCAGCGCGCCCCCTTCCGGCCAGAGGCGCTATCGGAACTGGAACCCCCCACTGCTTGGCAACCTCCCCGAAGACTTTCTCCGCATCCTGCCCCAGCAGCTGGACAGCATACAGGTAACGGGGATACCCCCCGCCCCCTCCTGTGCAGCGTCTCTGCTCGCCCACACCGTGTGTGCCAGCCAGTGTCACTGCCTGATGTTTAAGCACAGGCCGAGCTATTTCTGTTGCACTGAGTTTGCAGGAAAAGAGTGCTGGACCCAAAGCCTCATTTCCTGGAGGTTTCCTCTTCCACCCAGGAAGGTGACAGTCCTGAGGCCACTCTCTGGCTGCAGCCCTCACCCTTGGCGGGGGAGAGGTGGGCGGCCGGCCGTCCGTGGCAGAGAACCAGGGCGCCTTTCTTCCCTCCCCTGGGAAAGGGCTGGAGTGGCCTCTCCCTGGAGGTTGGCCCTTGCAGGGGGTCTCCCCCAAGGCAGCTGGTACAGGGGGAGCTTTGAGTTTGGGGATCCACGTGTAGGCTACTGAGCAGTCTGCAGATGACCCTTCAGGACTATTCAGGTTTTGATGAAGGAATGAGTGTTTCAAGGTGGGACGGAGTCATTTTTAAAGCCTTTGCTGCTTCCTCAGCAGAGAGGGCTCTGGCCTGTTAAGTTGGACTCCGGCTGACGACTAGATGTGGATAGGAGGTGCCGGCTGCAGGGTGTGGCTGGAGGATCCTGGGGAGGACACGTGTACCCCCTAGATGTCCGTGGATGTTAGTGCAGCACGTGCCCTCGTGAGCAGGCGGTCCACGTGCTCGCTCCTCTCCGCAGGCTAACTCCGGGGGCTCCAAGCCCACAAGTGCAGAGGCAGGCCAGCCCCCCGGGATCGGGGCTGGGCCCCGGGATCAGGAGAGCCGCTGGAAGCAGTACCTGGAGGATGAGAGGATCGCGCTCTTCCTGCAGAACGAGGAGTTCATGAAGGAGCTGCAGCGCAACCGGGACTTCCTGCTCGCCCTGGAGAGAGGTGGGGCACTGGGTCAGGGCCCTACAGCTGGCCTGGCCGGCCGCTGCTACGCGGCTGAAGGACGGGTTGATATTGGCTTTAACCATGGGGCTCAGGAGAGGCACTGAGCTGGAGGTCAGGCGTGGCCTTGAGTTATCCTTGTGGGAGCCCCAGAATTCTGCCAATGGGGACCTGAGTCGCCAGCCACCCTTCTCCCTCCCCTGGGACTTGGAGGGAGGGAAGGGGTGCCCTCTTAGGGGGGCTCTCTCCTCGCCCTCCTCACACATCTGGTCTGTGCCAGGCACTGGCTGGGGCATGAATGTGTCTGGAGCTCCAGGAATAGAGTGATTGGATCTATGGGTGCCATAGTGGGTGCCTCCCTGTGCAGAAGACGTTAGAGCCGAAGCTCTTGCGTTTTTGTATGTTTGAGTTTTCCTTTGGCCAAGACCCTACTCCCTAGGCTGGCTGCCTTTCCCTTGCAGGGTGGGAGAATTTGGGGTAGGGTACAGTGAGGGGGCTGTGGGAGAGGGGTGTGTGTGTGTGTGTGTGTGTGTTGTGGGGGAGGGAGCACGGCATGCAGGGAAAAGGCTGGTCTGAGACAGAGGAAGTCCAAGGCTGGTGCCAGCTCTACACCAAAGGGGCTGGGGGTCTGGGAGCCCCTCCTTTTAAGTGAAAGGCTGGGCTGTCTGATTTCTCAGGGTCCTTCTAAATTTGACATTCTAACAACCCACGTGATTGTCAGGGCAGTAGTTTCTGTATCGCTGGTTCTTTGAGAGCCCGTGGACGTCGTGTGTACACATCTTCTGTGTATGCATGTGTGCACGTGTGTGACTCTGGGGGCTTGGCCTCCGACAGCCTCCTGCATGTCCGTGCAGGTGCCCCTGGGTGGGAGCTAACCCTGACCAGAATGTGGTCCTTTTCCAGATCGATTGAAGTATGAGTCCCAGAAATCTACATCTAGCAGCGTGGCCGTGGGGAATGACTTTGACTTTCCCTCTCCTGTCCCAGGTAATCTGCCTTCCCGAGAGAGAGTGGCCTGGAGGGTGTAGAAGGCTCACACCCCAGCTGGGCTTTGCATCTTTGGAGTTTGAGGGGTAGGGTGAAGAAGGAGGCTGGAGGGGAGAGTTCTGCCCCCACCACCACACTCACCGAGGAGTGAGATGGCTCCTCCACTTGGCGGCCTGGGTTCTTACCAACCCAGCAGCTGCCAGAGCCCACAGCTGGGATCAGCCAACAGGCTGGCTGAACTCCTGAGAGGTGCCTGGAGCACCGGCAAGAAGGGGACACACCACACCACATGGTGTCCTCTGGGGTGACGGGGGTGGGGGTGGAGGGACTCAGAGACTTTCAAGACTTGGTCGCTGCCCCTGGGGAGCTTGCGGTCTTGTGGGGAAATGCAGGAGATGCGTCCAGGAAGTGGGAGGAGGCGCCAGCAAAGCTGAGGACGCCCTTGTTAATTACAGCAAACGCATGTTGAGGGAAGGGCAGAATCAGTCTGGGAAGGGTTTGTTCCTTCCTTCCTTCATTCATTCAGTAGCTGGGGAACACCCGGCCCTGCCCTAGCATTGGAGGAAGAGAATTGTGAGCTTCATGTACAGGGGGCTGAGAAGCCAGACTTGCCTCAGAAGAGGGCCAGGACCCTCCAGGAACCCTAAGTGGCAGAAGAGGGGCCAGGGGTGGACCGCAGGCTGCTGGGTTGCACAGACGAGGGTGGATCTGGAGCCGGGAACTCAGGGCAGGGAGGCCCAGAAGGCCCGGCTTCCGTACTCGACGTGTGGACTTGCCTGTGTGTGCAGAGGCGGTCCCTCGTCACCCAATGCCCTCCACACACAGGCTGCCCACCTCAGAGAAAGAACCAGAAGCTTTTGCCCGAAACAAATCTTACATCGCGTGGTAGAGTGGGGGCAGGGGAGCAGGAGGATGGGGAGCTCAGCTGATCCCAGCTTGAAGAGAGAAAATCCTGGGGAACTGATTCATAAGCAACAGGCCGGGAGCTTAGGCCCCACCAGATGTGCATCTGGGGGTTTTAACGGCAGCTTCTTGTCCTCGATCCTGAATTAACTGTAGACACCAGGACCGCTGAGATGGATCAGAATGACTCAGGGGACTTAGCAGGCAAGGTGACTCCGGATTAGCGCAGGGGCTTTAGGAGGGCAGCGGCAGAGCCAAGTGGGTGCTGAGTGAGCGCGGAGACTCTGGCTCACCCCTGTTACTGCATTAACCCTCACACTGTGCAGGATGCAGGCAGGCTGGCCACGTGCTGGTGAGTGTTTAACAGCCTGTCAGAGTGCAGGGGATGCCCCAGTGCATAGCATCCGGTAGCTTCCGTGGTGTCAGTGCTCCCATCACAGCTGATTGCAAGCTTCTAACAGGACTTTGCAGAACATGGCGTCGGTCAGAGGAGCAGACAGCTGGGAGCCTGTGTGAGCCGGCCCTCCACACATACAGCAGACCACACTGCTCTCCCACTTTTTATAGGAAAGGGAGCAGTGAGGCTTGGGTGGGGAAAGAAATGCTCCTTGAACCCCGAGTGTCCCCCTTGCTTTGGCCTCCCTCCTGGTGAGGAAGGAGGCCTGCTCTTTGCTCCCCTCCTCAAGTGGAAGATGGAGTTGAGCCCCTGTCCCGTGGGGACAGCCCTGACCCCCCTCCCCGGAGACTTGGGCAGCTGCCCTCTCTAGAGGTGGCCCTTAGAGGTGTCTTCCCCCTTTCAGGAACCAGTGACACCAGCGCCACTGTATCTGAAGATGCCTTATTCCGGGACAAGTTGAAACACATGGGAAAATGTGAGTCCGGCTCGCGCTCCCCTCCCCAGTTCTTCCAAGACAGGCCTGTGGCCTCCTGGGAGGGAGGGAGCCATCCGGACTTATCAATGCAGTGGACTCTTGGTGAACCGAAGTGACATTTTAATCACACGCTGGCTCCCTCAGCCTTCCTGCCTCACTTCCCTGTGCAGCTGAGTCTGGATACAAATTAAGTTTTAAATCCTCTTGAGCCAGCTGTCTGCAGAAAAATAATAATGTGCTGTACAACTCCCCTCCCCCTGCCAATTTTGGAGCTTCAAGTTCTCTGTGGCCTGAGGGGGCTTGGCCAGGGGGCCTGACTGCACGGGGAGGCCCAAGCTAAGCCCACTTCCTGTGGGTGGGAGGCCTGCGGAGTGACCTGCCAGCCAGGTCGTGCCTTCCCATCCCCCTTGCCTCCCCGCCAGCCACGCAGACACACAACCATGTGTGAATGAGGTTGCCATCCTTTCGGGCTCCGTTTCAGAGAAAATCTCAGTATTAGTCAGTGGAAACTCCCAGGACCAGCTCCAGAGGTGGAGGAGGGGGGAGGGAGGTGGCGAGGAGAGAAGCCAAGCTAGCGT